CTGGATTCCCTGCTAGAACATTTGTTGCCCCTCTAGTTAGAATGAAGTGTTGTCTTGGAGCCTGCCGTACATTTAAGCATATACTTTTATAACAAAGAAGAAAAATCATACAACGCTTAGTTCTTCTCACGCAGCCATTTCTGTCTTAGCTGTGAGGTCAGAGTGAACCCAGTCCAGAACCTGCCAGGGCTGCTCATCAGTCTTTGTGATGCCCAGCATGCTGGACCATCTGAAATTACAGCAGCTCATTTGAAATTTTAAAAAAGTATCTTTTTGTAACCGGCAAGGGAAAAACCACATTGAGAATTTGTCGTGGCTTAAAACAGTTATCTTGAGCAAGGCGAGTACGTGAGGAACTTGATAACATAAGACCTGAATTCCAGTCCTCGTTCTGCACTAACTTCCTGTGTAGGCTTGAGAACACACGCCACTTTTGCCCTTCTGTGGCTCCATGTTCTCATCTACGTTGGTAGAAAGATTAAACGAGAGTGTGTTGGGAAAGGCCTTAGCAATGTATAACTAATAAAGAGGCAACACATTGGTACCAAACTTGATTTCATCACTGAACTAAAGGTAACAGTTGTTATTTCAGAAATAGTTATATCAAGAGGAAGATATCTTAACAATTTATGACTTAATAACTCTTTGGTATTGTAACTTTAGTTATAGTCTTCATTTTTAGCACTTTGAAAACATTAAACATTGTTTTGGAAAGTGTTTGATATTTAGGGTTTAACATTTCAAAAAAGAGGATGAAGAAACTTACCTTTATCATGGGAAATATAAAAATAATATCTAATTGCATAATAGATCATTAGTACATAATAATTACAAAATTATTGCGCTTCTCTTCCATTTAAGTCTCAGTCATAGAAAGACTATTAAAACATATTACTGATTTGTATTTCCATTACCCATTCATTCAAAATGAGCAAAGCTCACTCCCATCGAGTCTATTCTGACTCAGTGACCCTGTAGGGAAAGGTGGAGCTGCCGCTAGGAGTTTCTGAGACTAACTATTTACCAGAAGAAAGTCCTTCCACCTCCACTATAACCACATGGTCTATATTGCTATGAGCTGTTTCCAATCATTCTGTGATCACCTCCTAACTGGCTTATTACTCTTCTACAGGTCACTACCCACCCAGCAAAATCTCATCTTTCATCTGTGGAGCAGCTGGTGGGTTGGAACTGCTAAGCTTGTGGTTAACAACCCAAGACATAATCCATTAGACCACCAGGCCTTCTCTTGATCCATTCATTCCACTGTTCATTTGTCCATTGAATCAATATTTAGAAACTAGACAATATTCTAAATGATGACAACAGCAGTGAAAAGAACACATTTTCCACTTTCAATTATGTTATGGGCATATAACAAACATGAAAAAGTAAATCAATAGTATGTCAGACAGTTATAAATGCTGTTATAAAAAACACCCACACAAACAACAAAGCAAAGGGTTTCTAGACTGCAGGCTGTTGTTAAGGGAACATTTCAAATGTAAAAGGAGTAATAAGGAAACCTCACTGAGTGGTATCTATGCAGAGACCAGAATGAAGCTTTGGGGATTTAGGGTTAGACCATTCTAGGCTTGGGAGAACTGTAAGGGCAAAGGCCCAGGGACAGTTTAGGGTCAAGGAACAAGAAGGAAACCATTGTGGGTCCAAGGCAGGGTACCGTTAGAAATGGTCACAGGGCCACATGCAAGGATCGTGAGCTTTACTGAACAGTTGAGAGAGCATATTGAAAGACCGGTGATTTGACATGGCTTTGCTTTTAAGAGGCTTATTTATTCTACTTGTGGGGTTGCGAGTGACCTGTAGAAGAGTAATAGGCCAACGAGGAAGTGATTGCAAAATGATTGGAAACAGGTCATAGCAATATAGACCAGGTGGTGATAGTGGAGATAGCAAAAAGTTAAGGGATCCTGGATATATTTTGAAGGTCAAATAGGCATAGTTTTGCTGCAGTGTTGGTTATGGAAGGTAAGAGGAAGGTAAGCATGACTCTTCAGTGTTTGGCTTGAGAAAATGGGTGAATAGAATTGTCATCGACAAACCCGAGGAAGAAAATGGGTGAATAAACTTTGGCTAAAAATCAAGGACTACATGTTCTGCTTTGTTTGAGATGCCTTGTAGACATCAAGTAGAAAGGTGTCAGCAATGGGCAATTACAGGCGTTACTCTTGAGTTCAGGGGAAAGGTATGGGCCTGAGAAGTACATCTGAGTGTCAGCAAAGCATATCAACCTAGCGCCTTCCAGTGGATGCTGACTCAGCAACTCTATAGGACAGGGTAGGATTCAGGCAGTCCCATTTGGACAGTTTCCCAGAGCAGAAAGCCTCCTCTTTGTCCCATGGCGTGAGCTGGTGGTTTTGAACAGCTGACCTTGTGGTTAGCAGCCCAACGTTTTATACATGGCACTTAAAGCTGTGAGGAGATGTAACACCAGGAAGGTAGGGGGTAGTGATGTGAGGATGCAGACCTCTTTGCTTTCCCAGTCCCTGCTGGGCACTTATGAGCCGAAGAGAAAGTAGAGAAGACCGGAGAACCCAGAAATAGGTCACATTGGTCCAACTGATAATTAAGTGCAACTGCTATTTGCCAGAGATTCTGGTAGCCACTGGGAAAACAATATGACTGACTGGACACAGTGTCTTCCAAGAGACCCCAGTGTAGCATAAAATAACTCCAAATGAATACTCAAGGACAGCAATAGAGATAAACCACAGTACATGTTTTGAAACAGCAACGAAGAATTAAAGAGTAGCTAAGTAATAGTGGGAGGATGGTACTGACTCCGAGGTCTGAACAGAAAAATAAACCTTGCTTAATCTCTGTGTGTTCCCAGCAAAGATCAGCCACACAAATGGAAACCCTTGGCTGCGTGAGATCAACACATAAAAGAGAAAGGGAAAAGTAAGATAACAGGAAGAAAAACAAATGGAGGGGAGAGCAACCAAGACCGCTTACATAGTCGTGTCAGAGGCATAACCTGGCTTTCTTCTTGTTGGTTGCTGTGGAACCGCCCACGTCTGGTGACCTTTTGTACAAGAGACAGTATGAGTGACCCAGTGAAGCATCACGCAGCCCTGCACCAGGACGGTGGCTATACTGAGTCCATTGTGATGGTTGTGCCAATCTCATTGAGGGCTTCCTTTCCACGTGGCCTGCACGCTAGTCAACTTGTAATTGTCCATACAAGACGGAAGAAACCTCACTGCCGAGTCAATTCTGACTTATGTTCACCCTATGCGACAGGATATAACTGCCTCTGTGGGTTTCTGAGTCTGTAACTTTTATGGGAGTAGAAAGCCTCGTTTTTCTCCTGAAGAACAGATGGTGGGTTCAAACTACTAACCTTGCCATTAGCAGCCCGATTTGTAACCAACCACTATACCACCTGAGCAGGGGTTGATTACAGATTTACTTGCATCCATTTAAAATCTGCAATGAATAATTGCTCCGGAGATCCTGCCACATCTTTGAAAATTTACTGATAGATCAGGATAATTTTTTTTAATTGAGTGTGGTTTTAAAATATGAAAAAATGAAAACAATGTTAAGACCCGGAGAGTGAGAGACTAGGATAGTGTAACAGAGAGCTGGTTCCGATTGGGCTTTGGACTTCTGGCAATAGAGGGAAGATTATAGGAGAAACCTTGTCCATCTCTTCTACCTCCTTCACCAGTCTTCTCAGAAGCCCCTTGACAGAAAGTTCTTAATCTGCGTAGCTGGTTCCCATTGTGGCATTCAGCACCTGGCGTTCCAGGTGTAGCTGAGGCATCTTACAGGCAGAGCTGTCCGTGAAGTGTTTCCCCAACATCCCAGCAATGACCATCGATTGTTGTCGTTCATACCAACCCATACTGAGTCCGTGTGTGTCACAACATCACTGTGCTCCACCAGGTTCTCCAAGGCTGCTTGTTTTCTCCCGGAGGTCCATCACCAGACCTGGACTTGGATCTTTGGGTTCGCCACAGTTGCTGGCCATGTGAAAGTTTGAACCACCCAAGGACTCCTACATCTAGGGCTCCATCTGGCAAACGTTGACTAGTCATCGACTCAAAAACCTCAATTATTTGTGTCTGTTTAAATTGCCTAATTTGTATGTAAGTTGTATACCTGGATGCCTCCTATGGAGGGGAGGTCCCTGCTGGCATTTTGCTAATGGTGCTAACCACAAGGTCAGCAGTTTGAAGCCACCAGCCCCTCCGTGGGAGAAAGATGAGGCTTTCCACTCATGCCAAAATGTACATGATGAACACACACATGGTAAATATAGAAAAGAATAAAGTTCCCTGCATTAAATGGTGGTTTGGGACAAGACCGGTACAAGACAAGAAAGCCGTCATTCCTGGCTATTGAGCTTTGGGTGGGGAAACCTATGATACTAGGACAGGCGAAGGCCCTAAATTACCCAACTGTCAATCTCCTATTCGCGTCCTGACGCCGCCCTTTTGGCTCAAGTTCCTGAAGTCTGTGTAATTATAAACTTACTCCACCTTTCCTTCCCTTCCAACCCTTTGGAATACTCTCCAGAGGAGAAATGAAGTTCCAAGAACTAGGAATTCTTAAGGAAAATCCACGGTGATTCCATCTCAAGGAAGTTAAGCTTTGTTGCTGCCCCATCTCATTGAACCTGAGTCTGACTAGGGTGGTCTCCGCGGGCAGTGAACCCGGGCGAGGAACGCTAAAGAGCACTGGATTTCGTTCGGAGCCGGGCAGGGCCGGCTGCGGCGCCCACACGCGGCCGCACAAAGCCGGTTCCGGGCCCGGGAACTGCCCCGCTGCGATGGCGCAGGCTCCGCGCCCCGTGTGGGCTGAGTAGGAAGAAAGGGGGTGCAACTGGCCGGAGACACGTGAAGCCGCGGGGACCAACCCCGGCCTCGGGTCCCCACCGCCCCGGAGTCTGGAATTTACAATCACGAAAGTTCTATCGTTGCGCCATTGGCTCCGGGGCCGCATGACATCATAGCGCTTGATTCCCCCGTGGGGACCCCGATTGGCTGGCGGCGCCATTGTGACGTCACGGTCAGCCCACGTTCCGATTGAAGATACCCGGCGCCTTCCTCTTCCCATCGCCCCGGTTGCCCGCTGCCTGGCCCTCCCTCCGACATCCTCTCCTGCCCGGCGGGACACGCTCGGAGCCCTGCACCCCGGGCGCCTCTCCTCGGACCGAGAGGTAAGCAGTCGGCCGCGGGAAACTTGGCCCGCGG